CATAGCTTGGGCATCCCTGCTTCTGTATCACGAAGATAAGTGAAAATCTGTTGTCTTTTCCAGAATCTAGTAATTTAGGAAAGACTTTTGGTTAGAGGAAGAAGTAAGCAGGTATTTCTCTTCTAACCTGTACTGCACAATTTTGTAATACTAGAAATAATTGGAATTAAGAGTGATATTTTCCTATGAATTAAGAGTTGTAATTTTAGTCTTTAAAAATTTTAGGTGAGAGGAGCAAGATTTACAAAGGGAAGGGTGCTAACTGGGCAAAAGCTAATGAGGTAGTAGGCATTGTTGAGCACTTTATATAATCTCTTAATCTTTGCAATGTGATTAGGTAGGCAGGTTGTGATACACATGCTTTTTAGCTGTTGAGGAAATTGAGGATCAGTGAATTTGAGTCATTTAACGTTACAGAGATAAAATGGTAGAGTCTGAATTTGGACTTGAATTTGTTATACTTCAGTGCCCAAACTTATCTGTTACATCTTTGTTCCTCTTAGGCGGTCACAAGATCATTCCAATTCCTGTCAAGTAAATTTAAAGTATAACCACTATTTTTTAAAATAATGCCATTTAAAACTACTTGTTCTTTTTGGAATAGTAGTGTAACTGGAATGATAAATAGTTCATTAAAATTATAGTCTTTAAGATGTCATTAGTATTCTAGGAAGAAATGAATACCTGAATATTTTGTACTTAACAAAATAAACTGGATAAACTGGATAAGAGACTAAAGTTTTCTTATTTGTATTGCTCAGTCAGGTAGGATTCAGTTCATTAAGGGCCAAAATTTGTGTTTGGCAGTAGTCTGCATGTGTTCTCATAATTCTGGATTGGTCATTATCAGTTGCTTAATTGCTTACCAAACCCTTCTAGTGGTTGAGTCACTGTGAATTGGCTCATGGTAATTGTGAATCTTGTGGTTACTGAGTCAAGAGCCAGGGTATGTTTTGGTTGCCTCACTTCCTCCACAACACTTGATATATTCAGACTTTTAATATTTTTTCTAACCTAGTAGACTTGAAACGAGTGACTCTTGGTATCAGGATATGTTTATTGTTTTGTTTTTATTAGCATTTCCTTAAGTTGAGCATCTTTTCATATGTTCATTATTTGTGCTTTGTCGGTGAAGTGTATATTCAAGTTCTTTGCCTATTTTGAGTTGTTTCTCTTTTTCTGATTGACTTTTAAGACTTTTTTTTTTTTAAAGCTTTTATTTATTTATTTCAAAAAGAGAGAATGCGTGTATGCGCACAAGCAGGGGGAGCAGTAGGCCGAGGGAGAGAGAGAAGCAGGCTCCCTGCTGATCAAGGAGCCTGACTTGGGGCCCCATCCCAGGACCCTGAGATCATGACCTGAGCTGAAGGCAGACGCTTAACCGACTGAGCCACCCAGGTGCCCTGAAAAGTTCATAATTTTAATGAATTGAAATTTTCAGTTTTTTATGGTTGTGCTTTTTGTATCATTTAGGAAACCCTTCTCTGCTAGGCATGCTTTTTTTTTTTTTAGATTTTATTTATTATTTGACAGATAGCGAGAGCAGGAACACAAGCAGGGGGAGTGGGAGAGGGAGAAGCAGGCTTCCCGCCAAGCAGGGAGCCCGATGTGGGACTCGATCCCAGGACCCCGGGATCATGACCCGAGCCGAAGGCAGATGCCCAATGACTGAGCCACCCAGGTGCCCTTTTTTGTTGTTGTTGTTATTTATTTGAGATTTATTTA